GTGTGTGTGTGTGTGTGTGTGTGTGTGTGTGTGTGTGTGTGTGTGTGAGTGTTTGAAAGTAGTTTCAGTATAATGTTAGTCCAGTTTTAAATGCCAGTTAAGAGTGTTTTAAGCAGGCCTAAGCATAACATTTGTGTGACTTGGCCACTACTCAGGCACAACTCCTATTCTTAGAAGATTCCACTTCTTTCCAGATGAGAGGTTTGAAAGGAGAAAGATGCCTTTACTGTGTATATTTGTGGAAAAACAGATTAGTACCCATCCACAAATAAAGTGTGAATTTTCTTTGTATTTGCATGGGAGATGTTGTGGAACAGTTAAAGATAAGAAAAGGGAAAGATAAAACCAGCAACAAAGCTTTTCATCAAGAAGTGTGCACGTGTGTGTATGAGTGTGTGTGCTGCATGGACCGACAAGTCTGTGGTCCATCTCCCTGCAGTGTAGAGGATATTTATTAATAACTTCATCTGATTCATCTATAAATACATTTCTCCTCTTTCTCCTCACACTGGCTCACTGCATAACAAGCTTTGACAGTAGCCAGTTGGGTAAAGACATGCATGCGGATGGGGTGGTGTGGGTGAGTGGGGCTGGTGTGTGTGTGTGTGTGTGCGCGCTGTATGAAATGAACGTATATGGTCCTTTGTTCTTCAGAATCAGGGTGTGCTAGCTTTCAGTACGACAGACAGCACCTCGGGCCTCTGCTTAGTTTGGTCGCACGGAGGAAGAGAAGAGGAGGAAGGGTCTGCTGCTTCTAAACACAATCATGGGTTTATTCTCCCAGAACCATGATCCGTGGACCTCCCACAGGGGGGACCCAGTCCTCCAGTGCTCTTTGTGTGGGCTCCACGGCGTATTGTAAATGTGCACTTTTTGCACTTTTGTTCACTTGTTAACCAAACATTGTATCCAACAAGTTAGAGTTTTAGTCGGTGGCACTCTTTGCCTCTTCAGCTACATACAAAGCGCCCATTTCTCTATCGTTCTCCTGTGCCCTCGAGGACTCCTCCAAGAACTAGATATCGAAAGTTTGGAACAGCAAATGGAAAAGCTTTCATTAACTGGATACATGTTGAATCCCAAATGTGGTTAAGGATATAGGCGCAAACAATATAAATGTTAGATGTTTGAATTTCTACTGACTTACTAGAAGTTAAAATAAAGTGGTGGTAAATAAAGTAAGTACATTTACTCATGTACCACACTTCTGTGCGTCTTTACACTTCTACTTCACCACATTTCAGAGTGAAATAATCATTCATTCAGTTACTTTTTAAACTATTTTATTTATAGACATATGATCAACAATGCCAAAGATTATGGCTCCCAACATTTTGGGGTTAAAAAAGCAGTGGTTAGTTTCAGATGTCTATGAGCTGTTAGCAGTTCCACCAAAGAGATAATTCCCTTCTTGATTTCTTAGATTGTTTCATTTGAACAACTGGTCGAGGTCCACGATAAGAAAAATCCAATATTTCACCAAAAAAATCAAATTTGAGAAAAGTAAAAAAAAAAAGTTTACAAATTTGTGCAATGTTTTTTCCCCCCATCAACTATCAGACCCCTCAGATGTATCCTGTGACCCTTTAGAGGGGGCTCTGCTCTAATCTCATTTGACGGTTACAGCTGATAAGGCCACCCCCACCGACGGTGTCGTGGATGCGTAGCACCCCACCATTTGGCTCCCCCTATGGTAAACAGTTGACACTGTTGTCGTCGTTTGCACTGAGCCATGTGGAGGCCATAGATATGCTCTGAATTCCATGTTTAGCATATTTCACTAAATTATACATGTTCTTCTACCCTGTGAATAAAGATGACAAGTTTTAATTAGAGGTAGCCTACAGTGTTTTATTACCCGTCTGTGACCTACACTATGCACACACTGTAAACCATTTAAAGCTTTTTTACTTAAAAACACAAGTTGTTGTCTTAAAAATTCTTTAAAAAGTAAAAATGAACTGAACTTCAGCAATCATTCTGAGAAATTAAATTAACTAAATTGACACCTTCATGTCAGGTGAGTTCATGTTTAATAGAAAATATTAGGCTATCCAGTTTCTGTCCAATATATTTTCAATCTACTAAAGAATCATCACAAAGTGAGCTTACAGCCCAACATGCTTGTTTGGGATCATCTGCATGACGGTGTTAGTAGTATAGCTATTTTTAAAAGATGGCTCATAAACACCAACTGATAAAACTCCAAAGGGTAAAGTTACACTGCGGCGTGTCTGGTGTCGTCATCACGCAGCCGAGTAGGTGAGGGTTGACGTATACAGCCCCCCCCCCTTGTCACTCGGTTCCTCTCGCGGATGCTGCGACCGAGCTCCTGTGCGCGCCGGCTCTCTCAGTGGCTCAACCCCTCCTCCTCCTCCGAAGATGTCGCATGAGCTTCTCCTCTCAACGCGGCGTCTCTTTTCTTTTTTCTCTTCTTTTTCTGCCAGTGCCCTTAACAGTTAACCTAATTCTGTCAAATTAGTAGCTCTCACCACCGAGAGCAGCTAGTCCTCGTCTAGGCGCACGGACTGCCCCCCCCTGCAACGGAGGTGTTTAAATCCTCAACCCGGCGCATCCTCTCTCCCTCTCTCTCTCTCTCTCTCTCTCTCTCTCTCTCTCTCTCTGTGTCTGTCTCTCTCTCTCTCTGTGTCTGTCTCTCTCTCTCTCCTCAATCGCCGCAGAACTCCGCCGACCAACCGTCAGGTGACCGCGCGGAGCGGAATATTCATCAGCACCGTTGTCGTCTTTCATCCCTCCACTCCTTCGGACGCCAGGCAACCGGAGCTGCCGCAGCCCCGGTGCCCCCCCCC